TTTCTAAACTCGATTCGTTTTTAGGGGGTTTTTGCGTTTCGATTTTTAAAAGAATTCCAAAATTTTCCTTAAAAAAGTTCGAAATTTACGAAATTTCAGAAATTACGAAACAATTACGAAACAATTACGAATCGATTCGTTAATGGCGGGCGCGATCGCGCAATACGCTAAAAAAAACCTCTCCCTCTGTTGTTGACTGTTGGTGTGATAATTATATTTTTTTTCACTGATAAAACAAACAGCAACCCTAAAACTTGCACCAGACATGCGGAAATAATAACGAAACGATTTCGAAACGATTTCGAAACGATTTCGAAACAATTACGAAACGAATTGGAAAAATTCGTTTCGTTTTTTAGTTGCTCCTGAATGGTTCAATATCGCTTCGTTATAAAAAAAATAACGAATTAATAACGAATTACGAAATTAACGAACGAAACCGCCCAGCCCTAGTAAATACATAAATGACCCCCCCCCCACACACACCTTTTTCTCACTCATGAACACATCTGTCATTTAAAATAATGAGATTTAAAAATGATTATACTATATACTCATGTGTAAGTCTAGACATTTTAATTTTAAAAAATTAACCCAAAAAAACCTGGGTACCTTATCCATGAGTACTGTACCTCTTTCCAAAAAAAAAGGAACAATCCTCTTATCTGAGTAGTATGGCAAAAGGCAAGAGTTTAATATATCACAGGAGAGTCTAAAAGAAGCACCAATGCCCTCTTACTCTCCCTGTTGTGGTGCTACTTTTGCCCTTTTCAAATGCCTGGACAGACAAATGGTGGTGGGAGCCAAGAACGGCTGACCCTCTGAGGTGGCATGAGTGCTTACTACTCTCTGTGAGATAACCTTAATTTATCCATGAATCATACCAAAATCCATAATTTTGGCCTCAAAACCTGCCATTGATTTATACATGAGAATGACATATACATGAATATATACATCAACTTATGCTGGATTGTATTTATTTTAGTTTTTAATAAACTTTAGGTTTAGCCAGAAACCTTAATCAGATACAAGTTTTTGAAATGTTGTCCAGGGGATGCAACACCAAACACATTAAAAAAAAACCTACCTGAGAAAAAATAATCATCATCATGCTACTGAATACACAGATAGTGAAAAACAGAAAACATAACTCTAATCTGAACGGCTTTAAGAAACAAAGTAATCTGTTCTCATTAGTAGCTCTAGGGAGGAGAAAAGAATTACAGTTTTAGAGTAATTTCATATGAAAGTTCAAATGAAATTATGCAAATGACAGGGCATGGAGTTCTACAGAATATCCTGAGGAAATACCATTACGTGAAAATTAAATTATTTTAAAACAGGGTTTTAAGGCATTATGCTGAGCTGTATTTAAGTGCCATTGTTTGAAGATCAGAATAATTTTATTTCGTTTCCTTGCAGACTGTGGAGTATTTAATCCTTATTAACTACTCAGCTTGACACAGCTAGTTACCTGTAAGATATTCTTAGACCAGTGCCTTGGGATATACACAACAGACTTGCTATTTTTCTTTTTATGAAGCCATGGATCTAAACACATCTTTTAAGGAACATAGTAAAAAAAACAAAAAAAAGTTTTATGGATTTATATTTCAATATGGAAGCCTTTTTTAAATTTATTCTTACATAATTTGTAGCTGATATTAGCTACTGTAGTGATAATTATGCATTTCACCACATGGTAGCAAATACGATGACTCTGTACTAGAAGACATGTAGCCAAAATGTGGCCACTGAGAAACAGCAACACAAAATTTGTGCTTGGAAAATAACAAGGTCTGTGCGAATACAAAACATTAAAAACTAACAGAAGCGTAAATTCCAGCAATGTTTAAGGGAATATAAAGGACTCTATTAAAACATCTCAGAGGAAGGTACTATTTTGCTACAGGTTTGAAGAGGAATAGTATTTATTAGCATTTCTGCTGCTTCCCCAATGGGGAAAGACTCAGTGACTTAGTGAAAAAGACTCATGCAGACAATATGACCTTTGGGTTTCTTTATACATATACTGAGATGGGCTCACATCAAATAAGAACTACAACACTATTGTCAATTCTCTTCTGACACAATAAAAAACTTGTGGTGCCCCAGGAAATTTGTGAAATGTTTGTGACAACTTATATGTAGAAAATTTTGAACATTCAGCAGAATTTAAATAGTTTGAATTAAAAGTTTCTGAATTAAAAGTTTCACCACTCCACTGACATAGGACTCACTAGCCACCCATGAATATACCTTCCTCTAAGATTGTGTCACTGAGTAACAAAGGAATTACTTGAGGGCTTGAGTTATCCCAATGTCATGGTGAAATCACTTCCTTTTTATATGTGGACTTAAAAGTATCAGCTTTCTTTTCTGATTCCATCCTTCTTTTTAGTATTTTTATTGTATTGAGCCAATGAACCTGGGCCCTTGTACCGTTTCTCTTTAACAACAACCTGATTTAGACATCATATCTACTTGTTGATAAAAATGTGAAGTTTGTTCCATTCTTTCTGAATAAAGAAACAGTATTTTATCAACAGAATCTTCAAGTCCTAAACATGGTTTCCATATTTAAGATTTTTCAAGAGAGTGCTTTCTTTTCATCTTTCCCCTGAATAAGACCTCTACAACCAAAATGTATACTGGTCTTTATTACACATGAATATCATTTAATGCTATATGTAAATCTTGATCTATTTCATTCTCAGTGATAAGAATAAATAATTCATAGATTTCTCCTCCTTAGAAGTTGTCAAAAAACTTCACAGCTTTCAAAAATGATTCAATGTTCAGAACTCATTCTGTCCAAAAAGATGGATGTGGTGCTTTTTGTACATAAATCTACATTTCTGCACAGAAATACTACTTTTCTGAAAAGAAAATTGCAAATTAAAAACAAACTACAAATGTGTTTTTTCATGCAGAATAAGTCCCAATCTACAAAGAGTCTTGTCTGTCAACAAAATGTGGAAAAATCAACAAAATTTGGGAGGGGGGGGGGAAATCAACATTGTATGTGAATACAGAGTGTAGGGTACTCACTCAATTTCTTTGGTATTCTCATAAATATGTGAAGAGTAAAATGTTTTTACATGCACACCTTATAATTGTCACTTTTGTAGAAATGTATGGAAACATAGCTGCTAAACCACGGGTAGTAATTTCGAGCAAAATGTAAAAGAAGACTTTCATTGTGGTATCTATGCCTTCACAAAGACATATTGTTATAATATTAGAGTTAAAGTTTCAGAACTAAGGCAATACAGTAACTCAAAATACAAATATCTGTTCCTGCTTTCTAAAGAAACAAAGGCTATTTACTTGCCACTGTATTTAGAAAGGATTAAAGACACATTTGCTAGGTTCATTGAATCAATATTGGTTTCTGTGCTTCTTGTACACATTGGTTCTGCACGAAGACTCCCAAATGTGAACACCTACTTGCTGACAGAAGGGAAAGACAAAGACAACTGGGAAAAGGGAAAGATGTTCGGGAGCAATAACAATGGAAAGATTAGCTGTAGTCAGAACTATGTATAGCCAATGAGAATGAAAAACATATTTATATTTTTTTTCCATGTTTGAATGTTCAAAGCATGATAGGGGAGATGAAAAGGGAGCCTCAGGTCCAATTGTCAAGATGCAACAGGAGTTCCTTTCATTGTACAATTACCAACTATACAAAAAATTGAAGCAAAAACTGGAATGGGAATCCAGTGTCATGCAAAATTAGCATTTCTACTGAAGCCCCCGGTGGCGCAGTAGGTTAAACCCCTGTGCTGGTAGGACTGAAGACTGACAGGTCACGGGTTCGAATCCGGGGAGAGGCAGATGAGCTCCCTCTATCAGCTCAGCTCCTCATGTGGGGACATGAGAGAAGCCTCCCACAAGGATGATAAAACATCAAATCATCCAGGCGTCCCCTGGGCAACATCCTTGCAGACGGCCAATTCTCTCACAACAGAAGTGACTTGCAGTTTCTCAAGTCGCTCCTGACACGACAAAAAAAAAAAGCATTTCTACTACCTCCATATCTCTTAATACCTCAGTTCCACTTAGGAAAATATTAAGTCATTTTAAAATCTAAAATCTGGAGCAAAATTCCGACATATAATTTTTTTACACCCTAGTCTCCCTGAGCATACCATGTACACATGTGGAACCCGGTCTTTCTTTCAAGGTATATTTCTGTAAACCTCAGTTTTTCCCCAGTTTAAAACAAACATATAGCCTTCAGGAAATATTGTAGTGAGGAAGCACCCAATCCAGGACCCTGACCTAATGAAGATTAAATTTCCTGATATTGCAATGTAACAAAACTGAACTGATTTCTTTAAATCATAAATATGTGTACCCAACCATGCCACTTTTAGTATGTTGCAAAGATCCAGTACTGAAATAGGGAGTTCATCAGTTCTTCTACACATACGCCTTTCAAATTCCTACCACAAAATAAATCCTGTCAAACTTTCCATGGTTTGGTAGGATAATAAGATTTTATTTGAATGAGCCCAATTACTGCTCTGTCATTTCTACAGCCTATTAATTTCACTGTTCTCTTGATCCTCATATTCTAGGGAAAGGTAAACAACAATTTCCAATGCACTTTCTGCATATTCACAGTCATATACAATACTGAAATAATCTAGGTAATATCACAGGGATATGCTTTATTTTACTATTGCTGCTACTTTTCTTCCTAGTAAAGTGTCCTTCAGGCACATACAATAGACCGCATAGCTATTTATTAAGCCACTCCAAAATCATTGCAATTTTTTAAAAGCTTTTCAATACGTTACCTAACAAATGGTTATCTTTCACATAACAGAAATGATGAGTATTTTATATTTCAGTGCTCCAGCCTACATAACATCAAGAGACAGTAAAATGATTTTATGAAGACTTACAGATGAGTCTCCCTAAACAGTTTTGGGGCTGCAATAAATGAGATCCAAGATTTATTTTATAAATCAGAGAAATTATATTACCTGTTGAACATCTTGCTGGAAAACACAAAGTTGAAGCCTCTGATGTAATCGAACCTTCCTGTGCTGCCAAATGCTCTCTAGGCGTCGTTGGTGATGTAAAACCTCATGGACCACATCCAAAACTTGGTGAACAGCCTTGGAATAATTAGCTGTGGCAGTGAGAGATTCTGAGTTCCCAGGACTCAAGGGACGTTGTAGGACATCCAGCAAAGCCTTTCCATCTTGACTCACCTGTAAGGTTAAAGGATCACAGTTTATCAAGCATGGGTGTTATGTTGGTATAGATACTTTTGGTTCATGCAGAAAGAAAGGATTATCCATCATTTACATTTGTCTGAAACTGCAAATGATAACTGAATTAATTTCCAGGGTTTGAACATGAATCTATCCTTTCACAGCCATCTGCCTTGGTTTTTAACCAGTTCTGGATATCTGTGATGGAGTGAATGACAGCAAATACATTGAAAACTAACCCAGACAACATGCAAAAGGATCTTGTAGCACTTTAGGGATTAACTGAGAGGACCAAACAGCATAAAGTTTCATAGACTAAACTAAGTCTACTTCCCTGAGTTCCATGGACCAGTAGTTCTCAGCCTTTGGGACCCCAGATGTTTTGGCCTTCAACTCCCAGAAATCCTAACAGCTGGTAAACTGGCTGGGATTTCTGGGTGTTGAGAACCAATGCCATAGACTATGGGAAATCTACACTGCTCACTCAATGGGAAAGGACCACAGATAATCTCTGTGGTGGCCAAATTCCACAAGGAGCTGATGTGGAATAAAGCTGGGCAAGACCACTTTAACGTGGCCTTGACCTGTGTTAAACAAAATTTGGGATATTCTGAATTCTGTTGTCATAAACTCAAGTGTCTCAAGCCTAGATGACTGTGGCATCTCAGGTGTCTTTAGCCCCACAGTGGTGCTTGGTCTGGTACTCTCCCTAGTCATTTCTTGGAGGGTAGGTGCTGGCTCTGTGACCAGATCACTGGTATACTAAAAGTTATGACACTAATCCTGTTGTCTTTTCAGGTTTGTAAAGATACTTATTTATACAATGATTGGCAAGGGTAGACTTTGATATTGCTCTATAAATTACATATCTGTTTCAAAAGACTGCCAGTTTCAGCAATGGGCAGCTGGTCTTTTGGTCATTAAGCTGAAGGGTAGTCTGCATAGATAGGAAAATGCCAATAAACTTCTGACATTTCAAATTTGAATTGTGAGCAGAAAATCATTTTGACAAACAAAGGAGGTGGACTTAAATACACACACATGATACACACATGAACTGCAAACTACTTATTAGAAAATCTCAATATTATTGCTATCCAGGACTGGAGAAGGACCTGGATAGCAATAAATAAAGAGGAATATATATATATATATATATATATATATATATATATATGAATATGAATTAAGGAGACAATCACAGATTTTTGTTTATCACTTCCCAGTGCAAAGTCAGAACCAGCTCTCAATATACTGAATGTAAAGTAAGGCAAGACAGAAATAGTACTGGAGGAAGTATGTGGTGATCCATAGAGAATAATTGAAGTAATACAGCACTATCATTGTAAACTAAACCAATGAAGAAACCTGATTATAAAACATGAAAAGATTGCAAGGAATCCATACTCACCTAGTCTGGCCTACTGCTATTAGTATGGCTAGCTACTCAGTAATAGTTAGGACTTAATCCCAATTTGACATTCTTAATTTGCAACTGAAGACCAACTTCATCTTTGGAGTTCTGACATGAAGAGATGGAGAAGTTGTGTCTTCATTTTTTTCCATTGCATCTTCATAAAGAACAAAACCAGTCTTCACACTAACCCCCCCACCCCCAAATGTGTAATTTTTCAGGTTTAATGAGCATAAAAGAAACACGAGGAAGTGCTGGACTAGATTTTCAGAAATTTTGAGGTGTTTCTTTATCCTTCTCCACTCCTCAAATTATCATCTCCCAAGTCAATATTACCCTCTTTGTTCTTGGCTTCCATCAACCTTTTAAAGCATATATACAAAATCTTTGTACATATGAAAAATTAATCACTATGAAAAGAAATATGCATGATGCAGTCACATAAAATATTCTAAAAACAGTATTTGGACATCAAAGGGACAGAGTCTGGTTTTTTCCTTTCTGCGCAGATCACACACAGTGCTACTTACAGGCTTATATTTAAAACCTAGTATGACCACTGTGACTCTTTAATAGCTCACAATCTCTCCTGATGTGTGATCCAGTTGCTTTTGGTTGCAGACAGCGAAGATCACCACAATGTGGCATGGATTAGATGGCTGGATGAGGGGAAGCCAATTTAGTTCATCAGCCTTCACTAAACTCCAAAGGTGATACAGACTCATACAGGGCACAGACAATTTCTATGCACCAAATCCATCAATTTGAATGTTTGTATTTTATTATATAAACTTTGGTAAGTCCTTTGTCTCTTTCCCTAAGATGACTGCAGCTTACATAGAACTTGGAAATACTCATTCATTACACCAAGAAGACATAAAATACAAGAAAGAAGGATTGAGCACATACAGAACTAGCACATACAGAACTAAGTAAACAGGCATTAATACATCTCATCATCTTGCACATTTACTGTCTCTCTTGAAGCGGATTACACACCTAGCAAACAATACAAAACAAACAACACAAAACTGTAGAATAGTTAACATTTTATCTTTAAATAAGAGATGGTCAAAGAAGTAATAGATATGATGCATCCCATGCCAACTTGGAAAATGTTGGATTGGAGACTCTGGGGACAGCTTCCTATACTCTGATTTTCATGGTTAGCATCTTTTTGGGTTCTACTTTATTCCACTGCACACCCATAACTATGTAAATATGTATTATATCTTGAGGTATAGATATCAATCCATATGACATTTGAAGAAACTTATTTATATCCAGAAAAGCTCAGACTACAATAAAAACAGACTTAAAGGTGCTGCTGCACTCCTTTCTCCTCCCCTTCTTTTTTGATTTCCTCTGTGTTATCTTTTTGGACTCCAGCAAAGGATCACCGCCTTGTTGTGGTGCTGGAGCTTGAGCACCTCAATGATGTCATGAGCGAAACCGTGAAGGGCCACCCAAGACGGGACGGTCGTGGCAGAGAGGTCAGACCAAGCGTGATCCCTGGGGAAGGCAATGGCAAACCACCCCAGTATCCTTGCCAAGAAAACTAAATGGACCTGTAGAACCAGAGATATGTCGGTATGCCATTGGAAGATGGGACTCCCAGGTCGGAAGATGGCCAAAATTCTACTGGGGAGGAGCAGAGGATAAGTTCAACTGGCCCCAGATGTGATGACGCAGGTAGCTTAAAGCCGAAAGGAAGGCTAGCGGCTGACGGTACTGGAGGTGAACAACGAATCCGATGCTCTAAAGATCAACACACCATAGGAACCTGGAATGTAAGCTCTATAAGCCAGGGCAAATTGGATGTTGTTATTGGTGAGATGTCAAGACTAAAGATAGACATTCTGGGGGTCAGCAAACTGAAATGGACTGGAATGGGCCATTTCACATCAGATGACCACCAGATCTACTACTGCGGACAAGAGGAACATCGAAGAAATGGAGTAGCCTTCATAATTAAGAAGAAATTCACTAAAGCAGTGCTTGGATACAACCCAAAAAATGACAGAATGATCTCAATTCGAGTGCAAGGAAAGCCTTTCAACATCACAGTGATCCAAATATACGCCCCAACCACAGCTGCTAAAAAAGCAGAAGTAGATCGGTTCTATGAGGATCTGCAGGACCTACTGGATAATACACCAAAAAAGACATTATTTTAGGTTCTTGTAGGTTTTTTCGGGCTATAGGGCCATGTTCTAGAGGCATTTCTCCTGACGTTTCACCTGCATCTATGGCAAGCATCCTCAGAGGTAGTGAGGTCTGTTGGAAATAGGAAAATGGGTTTATATATCTGTGGAATGACTGGGGTGGGGCAAAGAGCTCTCTGCTGAAGCTAGGTGTGAATGTTTCAGCTGACCACCTTCATTAGCATTTGAAGGCCTGGCTGAGCCTGGGAAAATGTTCTGTTGAGAGGTGTTAAGATGTGCCTGGTTGTTTCCTCTCTGCTGTTTTGCTGTAGTAATTTTAGAAAATGAAAGGAAGGAAAAAGAAAGGAAAAAGAAAATGAAGGAAGACTGCCTTTTCTAGATGTCCTAGTCATCCGCAAACCAGAAAAACAATTGGGTCACACCGTCTACAGAAAACCCACACACACAGATAGATATCTACATAAAAACTCCAACCATCACCTAAGTAAAAAAAGAAGCACCATTAAAGCCTTGGCAGACCGTGCAAAAAGAATCTGCGAACCCCACCTCCTCCAAGATGAACTGAACCACCTCAACTGGGCTCTCCAGGCCAATGGATACTCCACCTCAGACATCAGAAGAGCTGCAAGACCAAGAACAAGCCATGAAAGTTAAGATGAAGATCCACCCAGAGGAAAAGTGTTCCTGCCATACATCAAGGGAACCACTGACCGCATAGGGAAGCTGATGAGGAAACACAACATACAAACAATCTACAAACCCACCAAGAAAATCCAACAAATGCTACGTTCAGCAAAGGACAAGAGGGATCCTCTCACCTCTGCAGGAGTCTACCGTGTACCATGCAGCTGTGGACAAGTCTACATAGGGACCACCAAACGCAGCGCCCCAAACACGAATCAAGGAACATGAAAGGCACTGCAGACTACTTCAACCAGAGGAGTCAGCCATAGCAGAGCACCTGATGAACCAACCTGGACACAGCATATTATTTGAGAACACAGAAATGCTGGACCACTCCAACAACCACCATGTCAGACTACACAGAGAAGCCATTGAAATCCACAAGCATGTGGACAATTTCAACAGAAAGGAGGAGACCATGAAAATGAACAAAATCTGGCTACCAGTATTAAAAAACTCTAAAATTACTACAGCAAACAGCAGAGAGGAAACAACCAGGCACATCTTAACACCTCTCAACAGAACATTTTCCCAGGCTCAGCCAGGCCTTCAAATGCTAATGAAGGTGGTCAGCTGAAACATTCACACCTAGCTTCAGCAGAGGAGAGCTCTTTGCCCCACCCCAGTCATTCCACAGATATATAAACCCATTTTCCTATTTCCAACAGACCTCACTACCTCTGAGGATGCTTGCCATAGATGCAGGCGAAACGTCAGGGAGAAATGCCTCTAGAACATGGCCCTATAGCCCGAAAAAACCTACAAGAACTTAGTGATTCCAGCCACGAAAGCCTTCGACAAGACATTATTTTCATTACAGGAGACTGGAATGCCAAGGTGGGAAGTCAAATGACAACTGGGATCACAGGCAAGCATGGTCTGGGAGAACAAAATGAAGCGGGACGCAGGCTGATAGAATTTTGCCAGGAAAACTCGCTGTGTATAACGAATACTCTCTTCCAACAACTTAAAAGACGGCTTTATACATGGACCTCACCAGATGGTCAACACCGAAATCAGATTGACTACATCCTTTGCAGCCAAAGGTGGCGGACATCCATCCAGTCGGTGAAAACAAGACCTGGGGCTGACTGTAGCTCAGATCACGAACTTCTTATTGCCAATTTAGAATAAAACTAAAGAGATCAGGGAAAATACACAGACCAGTTAGATATGATCTCACTAACATTCCTACGAATATACAGTGGAAGTGAAGAACAGATTTGAAGGACTAGATTTAGTAAACAGAGTCCCAGAAGAACTATGGACAGAAGTCCGTGACATTGTTCAGGAGGTGGCAACAAAGTACGTCCCAAAGAAAAAGAAAACCAAGAAGGCAAAATGGTTGTCTGCTGAGACACTGGAAGTAGCCCAAGAAAGGAGGAAAGCAAAAGGAAACAGTGATAAGGAGAGATATGCCCAATTAAATGCACAATTCCAGAGGTTAGCCAGAAGAGATAAAGAAGTATTTTTAAACAAGCAATGCATGGAAGTGGAAGAAGACAACAGAATAGAAAGGACCAGAAACCTCTTGGAAAATTAGAAACATTGAAGGTAAATTTCAGGCAAAAATTGGCATGATAAGAAACAAAGATGGCAGGGACCTAACAGAAGCTGAAGAGATCAAGAGAAGGTGGCGAGACTATACAGAAGATCTGTATAGGAAGGATAATAATATCGAGGATAGTTTTGATGGTGTGGTGAATGAATTAGAACCAGACATCCTGAGGAGTGAGGTTGAATGGGCCTTAAGAAGCATTGCTAACAACAAGGCAGCAGGAGACGATGGGATCCCAGCTGAACTGTTTAAAAGATGATGCTGTCAAGGTGATGCATGCCATATGCCAGCAAATATGGAAAACACAAGAATGGCCATCAGACTGGAAAAAATCAACTTATATCCCCATACCAAAAAAGGGAAATGCGAAAGACTGCTCAAACCTCCGTACAGTGGCCCTTATTTCTCATGTCAGTAAGGTAATGCTCAAGATCCTGCAAGGAAGACTCCAGCAATACATGGAGCGAGAGTTGCCAGATGTTCAAGCTGGGTTTAGAAAAGGCAGAGGAAAGAGAGACCAGATTGCCAATATCCGCTGGATAATGGAGAAAGGCAGGGAGTTTCAGAAAAACATCTATTTCTGCTTCATTGAATACTCTAAAGCCTTTGACTGTGTGGATCATAATAAATTGTGGCAAGTTCTTGGTGGGATGGGCATACCAAGCCACCTTGTCTCTCTCCTGAGGAATCTGTACAAGGACCAAGTAGCAACAGTAAGAACTGACCACGGAACAACAGACTGGTTCAAGATTGGGAAAGGCGTGCGGCAAGGCTGCATACTCTCACCCAACCTTTTTAACTTGTATGCAGAACACATCATGCGATGTGCGGGGCTTGATGAATGCAAAGCTGGGGTGAAAATTGCTGGAAGAAACATTAACAACCTCAGATATGCAGATGACACCACTCTGATGGCCGAAAGCGAGGAGGAGCTGAGGAGCCTTCTAATCAAGGTGAAAGAAGAAAGCGCAAAAGCTGGGTTGCAGCTAAACATAAAAAAAACCAAGATCATGGCAACAAGAATGATTGACAACTGGAAAATAGAGGGAGAAAATGTGGAGGCCGTGACAGACTTTGTATTTCTAGGTGCAAAGATTACTGCAGATGCAGACTGTGGCCAGGAAATCAGAAGACGCTTACTTCTTGGGAGGAGAGCAATGTCCAGTCTCGATAAAATAGTAAAGAGTAGAGACATCAGACTGGCAACAAAGATCCGCCTAGTCAAAGCCATGGTATTCCCTGTAGTAACCTACGGATGTGAGAGCTGGAACTTAGGGAAGGCTGAGCGAAGGAAGATAGATGCTTTTGAAATGTGGTGTTGGAGGAAAGTTCTGAGAGTGCCTTGGACTGCGAGAAGATCCAACCAGTCCATCCTCCAGGAAATAAAGCCCGACTGCTCATTGGAGGGAAGGATACTAGAGACAAAGTTGAAGTACTTTGGCCACATCATGAGGAGACAGCAAAGCCTAGAGAAGACAATTATGCTGGGGAAAGTGGAAGGCAAAAGGAAGAGGGGCCGACCAAGGGCAAGATGGATGGATGGCATCCTTGAAGTGACTGGACTGACCTTGAAGGAGCCGGGGGTGGTGACGGCCGACAGGGAGCTCTGGCGTGGGCTGGTCCATGAGGTCACGAAGAGTCGGAGACGACTGAACGAATGAACAACAAAATCTATTTGGATCACAGCAAGTTCTCTTATTGGCTCTGTATCCTGTACTCCTGTTTAAATTCCATGCCTCCTGTTTGGATTACAGATCTTGTTTCAAGTATCAAGCCTTTGGGATTATGGTCATACTCATGCTTTCAAGCTTTTGGATATAATTCTAGTTTAAGTGCAACAACCCTTAGATTACAGTTTCTTGATTTTGCCTTGAGTGGTTTTTGGAATTCCTATTCAAAGTTGGTCATTGCATTTTGTTAAGCTTCTGAAAATCTAGCTCATGGGTGTATTTTGAAACCATTTTATATTAGATACTATTTTCTTAACATTTACTATTCTTGTTCATCTGTGGGTGAAAAAGGGGATGAAGTAGGTGGCTAGGCTGCAACACTGGTAGCCAAAGGCCACATAAATGTATTGTACAAATTATTCTGTTAATAATCCCCTACACTCGAAATGCACAGTGCGTAACTTGCTACCTGTTATTAAAGTCTCTTCTGGAACACTCACCTCCGTGTAAGCCTGAGTGACTTGTTCATAAAGGGATTGATGATGATGGATGGCTAGTTCCAGGTCTTGCATTTCTGATGGGAGGCCTCCTTCACTGCACATTTTGCACCAGGCATCCACACCAGAGAGGAACTGAAAAAGGAAATTATAAAAGAACTTTACTGGGTTGTTAACAAACTGACAAAGAGCAGCAGAAAGATAGCAGCACCATTTTTAAGCATTACACATGACAGAAGAGAAAACAGAGAATGGGACAAATAAAACAGAGTCTTTCTAAGCAGAATTAAGTTTAGAATTCAAGGAAGCAGCCAATTTCCAAGCAATATCCAGGTTTATGCTTTTTAACTGGGGCGTGTGGGGGCAATTATCAAATTACCATATACAGCTATTCAAAAAGAGAAAGGAAAAAGCCTAATATAGGCTAAGGACTCTTCCAGACAGGCCCTATATCCCGGGATCCGATCCCAGATTTTCTGCATTAAACTGCATTATATGAGTCCCCACTGCCACACAATCTGGCATAAACAGAAAACCTGGGATCAGATCTTGGGATATAGGGCCTGTCTGGTTGCTCCTGACACGATAAATAAATACTGCCTTTGTCATTAGGGTCATTAAAGTTTTTGGAAGAATAATATATAGATCATCAAGAAGCATGTGGAAATTCACCTATTCTTTTTCTCATGATAGCATTTCAGTGCCAAACAGAAACCCAGCTTTTCACCAGAACTTTAAGATCTTCATGATTAGAGCCTGGCTAAATTATAATGTATTGGTATGGAACATGCTGTATATACACCATTTACTGGTAAACTCTGCCCAGCATTGCATTTCTCTGCAAAAATTGATGCTTCAATTCAATAAAGCCACCACTTATTGAGTCCCAAAGGGGCAATTTCCCAAAAAATAAACACAGAATTCCCTTGCAGTATGTATCCCTTTGCAAATCCCATCCAAATCCTACAGGCACCCAAGGTTGATACAAGTTCCTAGACAGAGCAAAACACAAGCATGAGCTACATAAATAAAGCCTAATTATACAACCTTGTACCTGTAAAACTGCAAAAATAGAAGCAAACAAGGAAAAAATTATACTGTCTCTTTCAGCTAAAGGACAAGTAGATACTTCTCGCTGTTATACCAACTCTATCTATTATTCATAAACGAAGCCCATTCATATCAGTGCCCCAGTATTAGCTTGTTCTCCCATAAATCTTGCCTAGGCATGCTGGAACTAATCTGGTCCCAACCAAAGTAATGACATACAGAGCTTACATTGAAGATACAACTACCATAACATCAAGACCACATAAAACAATTAAGTCAAGTTACTACATGACAGCAATCATGCTCTAAATCTAGGGAATCCACCAGACTAAAAAAGCCAACAGTCCAATTGCAGTAAAGCATTTTCACATATTAAGAACTAAAACAATTTTTCAAAATAAATGTGAAGTTGCTGGCATTTTGAACAGAGAAAGCAGCAATACACCTAGATGCCTTCAATAATTGACTTGTATTTCCTGGAACACAGAGCAGCATCTGACTTTTTGTTAAAGGTTTAACTGAATATACTTTCTTTGGCTGCTGGCACAGCAGAACAGGCCAAATCTTCCTTTGACTCTGAGGAAGCGATGCAACTCTCACCTATTCACTGCACTGCAAAATATTCCTATTCTTGTCAAAAAGACAAGACATTCAAAACTGACAGCTGTCATGGTCTGCTTGCAATGACAGTTTCTTGGTGGCAATACACAGCAGACAATAGTGAGTTTAAACTATACAATTTTGTGAAATTGGCTACTACAATAAACAAGTCGGCTCCTAAAAGCCAAAGCGATTGAACTGAGGCTACATAATTTGGACACAGTATGAGACAACATGATTCATTAGAAAAGATAATAAAGTTCAACAAACTGCAAGACAGTAGAAAAAAGAAAGACACTTTTATTTCTGGGCTAGTTTAATCAAGGAAGCCACAGCCTCCAATTAGCAAGATCTTCACAAAGTTGTTAATAACAGGGTATCTTGGAAGTCCTCATTTGTAGGACATAGGACAAGGCTGATGTAATGTCAATTAAAAACAAGCCTGAACTAAATCTGTCAGCACAGAAGTCCTCAATCCATGAAATTCACTCATTCTCTTGCTTGCTGGCTTCTTTATTCAATTGGAATCTGACATAGCTCCCCTTTCCGCCAGAGAAATACAGTGTAGGACCAAAGCATATTTTTCCAAACTCAACTTTAAACAAAAATAAAACCTATCTCAGCTTTGTTTTCCATGCACTGATTTTAATATGAGATTTGTAATCCAATCAAAAATACATTTCCAAGTTTTACAAACTGCTTTTGAGCCAAAACAGGGAAATTCTAAGCAAAAATGCATTTTCATTAGCACCTGATTTCCAGATACCATAAAATGGCAACTCCTAGCATTCCTCATTATTGCAAAAATCGAGTAGAATTAATGCAGTTTGACACCACTTTAATTGCCACAGCTCAATGCTATGGAATCATGGGAGTTGGAGTCTGGTAAGGTATCAACACTCTTTGGAAGAAAAGTATAAGACTTTATAAGACAACAAGTTCCATGACTCCATACATGGAGCCATAACAGTTAAAGTGGTGTCAAACTGCATTAATTCTACAGTGTAGATGCACCATAGGAAAGCTAAAGGGAAATCCCAGCATCTTTTCTCTCCTGTACTACAATGAATTTGTCATTAGATGGACCAAACAAGAATAATGCAGATCTATCTGTACTTAAGGCATAGGACAAAGTAGCTCACACTACAGCAGTTGCTCTTGTTTCTGCCTAATTTTGGGATATTCAACTTGTTTAGCCTCACTTGCCCAACAGCATACTGTGTTGTCACCGGACTGCATTTTCACTATCCTCGAAGTGTCTAACATTCTGTATGGAGTAAATATTTGAGAACAGAGCTCATGTAGCAAGATAAAAATATGCAAATCTGTCATCTATAAAATAAACAATATATCCGAAGCAAGGTTGAAATTAGCATTTGCTCTTAAATGTGCAAAGCTGTCTTATGAATGTATTTCTCTGCTTATAACAGGACTGTCAATGGGAAGAAGGGAGAAGTGGGAAGAAATGCTTGCTTGCAGAACAGTCTGCAAAAGAGGTAGGATGCAATGGGTGGCTGGAATTAGCACAACACATTTGAGACATCAGTGAAATATTATACCTTGCATTTCGGGTTTGTAAATCAATCACCGGTAACTATCTTTTTTTGTACAACATAATTTGTAACCTCTTCAGAGGTTGCAGCCTCATGTTTCATATGAACAATGCACCTGTTTATTACTGTTTGATTGTGATTGACATATGAGAGATGAATCCGTCATCAAAAGTTCTTGCAGTCTAGTTCATGAGGAAGTACAGAAATAGCTGAATGGTAAAGGTATGTATACAATCAAAAGAATTCTGAGGTCTCTCATTTGATTCTCTATTTTTTTGATTAAAACTTTTGCTGATTATATACTACTCCCCCCAATCCAAATCAGTTTTGGATTACATTCCGTTTATTCAAATACAGACAAAAAGTTAATATCTATGTACATAATTAGATCTCATGCACAGCTTTTTATCTGTCAAATGTTACAGAATATAAGCTCATTGTTGATTTCTATTTGGAGCCCACAGAAGAGGTGCAGAGTCAAAATGACAAGAATAATCACAACAATGAACTGCTACATTAAGAATGCAGAATGTCTTGACTAAATAGCAAAAAATAATAATTCAGGCCATAGATCCATGAGCCATATCGGTTATCAGATGTAAGAGACCCTGCTCTTGATTTTGCCCCTGTCTCAAGCGTGGCTAGTGGGAATAAGAGAAAGGGCCTTCTTTGTGGCTGCCCCCACCTCTTGAACTCCCTTCCTAGGAATTAAAGATGGCCCCCTTCCTCCCTGCCTTTAGGAAACAGCTGAAGACATACTTTAGCTCACTGGCTTATGAGGAGGAGGAATACTGCCATTATACCTCAGATTAATAGCTGCCATCTGTATCCGTGCCCTGTTTACCCTGCAAGCTCAGTAGACATCTTGAGCAATGAACAATCTTATTTGCCCCCAAGGAACCCTGTTGGCTCTGGGAGATTGACATTTCTATTTGATGTTTTGTTTCATGTCTGATATAATTGGTTGCGTTTTTTATTTAATTTTAGTTGTTAAGTTACAATTTGCTTTTATATGTTGGATGCATTAAATAGTTCCTGGATGCTCAACAAAGCAAAATTTAAACAAATATGCTTAAATAAAATTGTCCACATTGTAATTTCTAGATTCCTTCCCTTCACTGAGGTCCTAATCAGAACACCAGTGTACCTGTGATATATACACCGCATTTTCAAACACTTCATTCAGACCTTTTGTATATTCACAATTATCAAGTAATTTTCTGTATAGATATCATCATAGAGAATAATAGTAATACACTTAAGGAGGAGTTTCTCCAGAGTTCAATGAAAATTCTGCTGTATTTTGGTTCAGATAAGCTACAGCTACTTCTAAATAATCCACGTGTGCCTGCATCAGGTTCTGTAAATTATGTTGTAGACCTGGGATAGTGGTTTTATTTGATTGCTTCCAGCATTCCTGACTATTGGCTATGTTGGCTTGAACATCTGGAAGATACTGTTCAATAAGATCTGGAGGGTGGCTCCTTCAAACAGAAGTTGTAAACCTATTTGGTTTTTTGTTTTCTAGGATTGTCTCTTCTAGGAGAATCGTCTACTGGAAATTCTGTTTAGCTCCTGCCTTAATTTCATAGCATACCAGGGAGTTTAAGTTTCCAAATTAGAAGACAATGACTCAACAGGATCCCTCATGAGAATGAAAGCAGATTGCAAGTTTGAGTCCCAGCTGATGGAACTGCAAGCCCAGTCTGCAAGCCCACGCCCACAGCATTCAGAGGTTACTGGCTCTCTGTCAATATTCATTTCCGACTTATGTTTCTCTTAGTCCAATTGAGTAGCAACTTCTACTCAGATTCTCCTGCCCACTCTAATTCCTGTCTGATTAGTCCTGGAAGACATTAGTAACTGTTTGGCAGCCTCCTCTTATGAAAGGGATACCACATTTTTCAGGTTTTTTTACAGGCTGGAGAGAAG